GGAAGAGCTCCTGTGTGCTCTGTGGCCTTGTTTGGGTGAAGGCAAACGCGTTGCTCGCCGTACGAGCCGCTCTGGAATTCTTCACGGATGCAGATCAGTACCGAGGTAGGACCTTCTGTCCTCCATGCGTGGCTGGGACGTCCTGACGGGACAACCGTCCCGATGCTGATGTGCCTGCTGGGTGGTTCTGCACCAGAGAAGTCTGGCGCAGATGCAGAGCCTTTGGTGCTTAGGAAACTCTGCCCAGCACTGGTGCTGGGTGCCAGTCTATTAGTGCCAGGGCAGCAGTCTGTCTTGAGCCTCTGCACGGAACCTTAGATCAAGATTTAACAACTTACATCCAAAACGTTGCACGGTCTGAATCCTGAATGACTTAACTTCTCTTTAAATGGTTGGGTGAAGCAGCAGCTGACAAGTTTTAACCTACTGACATTATGGCATATGTTGCAACAAAAGTAAAGCCTGTCTTCAGCTAATGAACTTCATTGAGCGCTGATCTTGAGTTGCTGAGCAATTATGAATGCTCTGCAAAGACCATTCTCCCATTCCATACTGCACTTCTGCAAATGCTCCCATATCCCTTTGTCCATTTGTTAATTTTTCAAATCTGTGCCTGTTGGCTTTCTCCTTTCATTTGGTTTTCTGTAAGTATTGTGAGAGTTGTTTCGTGTCTTCCAAACTTTTCCTTAAAACTTTCCGCTTACTCTGAAACCTATCAAAGAAACCTGAACGACTATATGGTTGTAATATATATCCTAACAATTATATGCTGTGTAATCAAATGCCTCTGCAATTGTGGATCTTGTGTGGTCTATTACAGGAGGAACCATTTTTCTGTTTTTGTTCAGTGTCACTTCAAATGACAGCTGTAACAGTGCTTGCGTATCCTGCTTGGATGAGGTGGTTTGGAAACTAAAATTGCCGTGTCGGTTTGCAGTGGCTGCTATCTTAGGTTTTTCTTCCTAAAAAAGAATTAGTGATTCTAGAAAGAATCAGCCCCAGGCAATTCATGAAACAAATGTGAACAACTGATGTTCCTTTTGTAAAAAAGCTTGTAACCAGCGTGCTTTATTTTGTCTATTCGGAGGGAACTTACACTGGTTTGTGGAACTTCCCCTGGCTTCCTTGAAAGCGTTGAAGACGTTGATGAGGGTGCAGTGATCTCCTGCAGGGTGTGAGAATTTTCGCCAGCAAGTGAGAGCAATCTCCTCTGTTCCAGGAGGTGCAGGTGAGAAGCAGCTGGGGGCTTAGGAAAGAATCAAGCCAGCAGTTAATAAGATACTCAGTGCATGATCCAAATAAGGCACTGTGGTCAGTAACCACCAGGCTTTTTTTTCTTGGTTCCCTTTAATCTTCAGTGTTGGATAAATACTGAATAACTAAATTGGTTTTATTTACTAAGCTTTTTACTAATATGGGTGTTCCTTCTATATTTTATTTTACTTTATTTGTGCTATAATCACAAAAGAAGGTGCGTGGCCTTCTAGAGAGATGCCAAGATGCTTCTTAACAGCATTGTCCCATTTATCCAGAATCTAAGCATGTAGGTTTTTTTTGTTTGTTTTGTTTTGTTTTTTTAATGTAGAAAAAGACCCTGAATCTGGGAACCCTGGGATTAAATGCCCAAAGAGATAATTTATCTTTGTTAAAGTTTGGGCCCTTTCCAGTACACTTTCCTCTTGTGGTGGTACTGTGCTACGTAGTTGTGTCTTTTGAGACATTTGAGCTTTTTAAAAATTGAAATGCTCGATCCTTCATATTTATGGCCTTAATTTTTTTATCATAAATACAGGCCAAATGCTACACCTAAAAGCAAGTTGTCCTATAAGCAGGAGAGCTAATGAAGGTGGGTTTCCTCTGGCTTCATGGAGCCCAAGGCCCCTCCGCACTTTCTGGGCCGGGCTGTTCTGGGCCTGGGCAGCGGGCAGGGAGGCAGGATTGGATTTTCCACAGGGGAAGCGGGAGCTGTCGCTGGCTCTCCTTTTTGGGGATCAGGCCCATGCAGCACTGCATGGGATAGTACTGCTGGAGACGGCCAAATGTTATTGGAGCCGATATTACTGTGCAGCACAGAGCCAAAATCTCAGTGTAGGCCTGTCCTGTGGTACCTGGTGGCATCCTGAGAAGCCCTTGACACCATTTGCTGTTTGAACTTTTGCTGGAATCACTTTCCCCTGAGTTATGCTTGATTTTGTGCCTCTCCGACGTACAAAGACTTCAACAGCAGCTTCGTGTTTTGGAAACTGCAGCCTACTGTCTTACAGAATTAATGGGCTTTAAATATCTGTTTTTTCATGTGTTGACTTGAAAGTTCTGTCAAATCAAAGAAATTCTGTGGTTAATAACCTTTAATATAAATGTTCTGTCTCCAGATGCCACATGTTCGAGGCTTGGAGCCAGCTAGTTCGTGTCACATTGCCATGCAGGAGCAGTGTAATCCATCAGAACAGGATGGTCTGAACTATTTATTTATTTACTTTAATTATTGTATTCAAAGTGGAGCGGTAAGATCATAAAGTAATTCTTTGTAGGTCAAGAGTTCAATACTGTTTATAAATTCCCACTAATTTCCTGCTCTACTCCAAATTAGCTCATTTTAATGAGATGTTCAATGTATGCTTTTTGACAAAAGTTGAGCTAATGGGGTCTCTGATGCGTGGAACTGGAGCCCAGGCACTGCTGTCTATGATCTTCACTGAAGTTGCACATTACTTGTGCTCATTGCATTTCCGAAGTCAAACAATTCAAAGTTAAACAGCCAAAGATACTCATTTACTTCAGGTAAAAAGAACTGGAATAACTAAAGTTTTGGTGTTGACTTGTCCACATGAGTAGACTTTGAAAGAGCCGCTGTGGATTTGGGCAGGTGGCACAAACACTACGACATTATTTAGGAGTACCTGTTACCATGGCTGCGATGGTGAGCATTTCATCAACACATTCAAATTCACATGAAGCCAATATCGACTTGGACAACTGGGGATCCAGAGGAAATTCTGACATGATAATTCCAAATTCTGAAAGGTTTCCATCATTATCCAGGGCTGCTAGATAATCAAGATCTTCCAAAGCCTGCATCAGACTTTCAGGAGCTAATAAAAAAGAAAGATAATGCATAAGTCTTAGGAATGGTTCCATATAAATAAATGCCTGAATTCTCATTAGTTCAATTTTGTATTTCCTGTGTTGCTAGTAAAAGAAAATGAAGAAAATATCTCCCTAGCAAATGGCAGCACTTTCTTACTGTTTAGACTGTGAATGCCAATTTCAGGCTAGAATTTTGTTTTACTATTATTTTTATATATACATATGTACTTTTTTTTTTTTCCTGATAGGTGATGCCAGCAGAATGTGAGGAGTTCCTCTAACAGGTTTCTAGAAAATCCACTGTTGATGAAAGCAGTTCCCTTAGGCTGAGCAGGCATGGAAGAGCCAGGCTGTAGCTCCAGGGCTAGAGAGTGAGCGTGAAAGCTGAGCTGAAGCAGCCAGGCCTGCGGTCTGAAAACTTAGTTGCTGGAGCATCAAAGACACCGGTAGAAAGCATTATTTTTCTAAAGGTACCTGTGACTTAATCTTTGCAGTATTACTCCTAAATGACTGAAATGATAAACTTTGCTATTTGATAAAATAAACACCTAGGTGTTGTTCTTGTTCCATAAGAAAGCAGATGGTTTAGTGGTGTACCCAATAATACATAATAAATGAATATGAGAGAGAGAAATGAATTAGATTTTCCAGTTAGGCTTAGTAGTATGAAGAACTGCCAAGGTCTTTACTGCAAGGAGACTAGTTATAGAGTAAGATGTTTTCTGTTGTCATTATTTTTTAGCTTTACTGCTTGGATAAGGAACTGAAGATCATGGGGGAAATCTAGTGCCAAATTCTCTTCAAATTATGCAAAAAATCTTCCCCATAGCCTGTTTGTGTCGCAGTAATTAACTGCCTCCTAATGCTCCCTATTGTGCCTTTGTGCCCCCAGGCACTGGCAGCACAGAGCACTTCCCCTGCAAACATGCAGCCATACAGAAAGGGAACTTCACTATTGCTGTGTGTCATGCTCAAAGCATGCACATGACTTTGCAGTATGCAAGTATATCTAAAAGGAATGTATACTTTATTGAGTTTTACAGCTTTGGACTCCTTCATTACTCTCTAGTAATTAAGGTAAGAGTAGCCCATCTTTAGGAGGATGGGCTGCACCTTCTCATTTGCTGGATGTTTTTATGGGGCAGTTAGAGCATATGGCCAGAGCTTAAGAGCTGCAAAGTGTCAGGTGTGCATTTTCATTATGACATATATATAAAGCTATTTATTCGGATTCAAAAATTAAAACATTAACACAGGGAATCTACTTTGAAGATGTATCTGTCGAGCAGACCTTCTAAAGGAGTGTCTTTGGCAGAGGTTGCTTCTAATAACAAAGAAAAAATGGGAGGGGGAACAAACTTTGACTCTGTTTGAAATGATACTGTGGATATTCTAGAAATTCATTCCTAGTGTACAGGGAGTTATAGTACAGCTCTCAAATGTCATGGCATCCGTGACCACAAGGAGAGATTTTAATCTGAAAATTGTTTGTGATAGCTCTGCATGAATGCAGAATGTGCCATCTGCTTTCACCTTGACTGTTTTCTCATGGAAATTTTGTATGGCTTAGTTTTTATACTGATTTACATAGTTTAAATAAAGAGCTTTCCCAGTGATTTACAAACTGATACATAATGTGGCTGCATTTTATGGGAAAGGAGTTCTTTTGTCTCATTATATAACACGATAAAGATGTAGTTGATTAACTGATAAAAATGTAAAGACCTCACTATTATAATGGCACAGGAATTCAAATAATGCACTTCAGAATTGCAGTGCCAAATCCATTTTCATATGGCTCATGAATTCTGAAAAGGGTAACAAGTCTGCTGCATGTGCTCATTTCGATTACGGCATGACTTAAACACAGCAGCTGGAAGCCTGACATGTTTGTTGCTTTCATAACGCTGTAATGAGTCAGAGTTAATCCACACTTTTATTTTTCCTCAAAGAACAGCAGGGAAAAAGCTTGTGCATATTGTTCCTGAGCAGAAATAAAATGCTTTAGTGATATAATTTCTGCTGCTTATCTGCTGTGTATTCTTTACTGTCATGTATAGGAAATGGACTGCAAAGTACCTCTCTGAATTCTTACTATATTATGCACCTTGCTCTCTCTTTTATGAATTTCAGTGTACCTCTGATTTTTCTGTTCCCTACGCTGTTCATACACTGCTCTGACA